CTAAAACTTTGCTGCTCAACAAACCAAAAAAGAAAAAAGGGAAATCTTTCAACCAAACGGTACCAAAGGATTCTCTAACAAAATTTTATTGTTAATTTAATTCCTTTGAAATATGTTCATTAAGCTTAGGTTTTTTTTTTTGCCAAAATATCAGAATAAATTTTTAGAAAAACAAAGTATCCTAAAAATAAATAAAAAAGAAAACTATATTTCCAAAAGGAACAAATTTGCCGTCAAATAATAATTTGTTATACTTAAAAAAATATGGGGCTTCTTTTTTGTGGTTATTGATTATTAGGAGGGAAACATGAATTCTCTTTTTGAAATACATGAATTAACAAAAATAAAAGAATTCCCTCCATATTTTCCCTCTAAATATTTTGTGCCTAAATTAAAGCCTCCTAATTCTATTAGAGAGTAATATGCTGTTCCTTTTCTATAGAAAGATTAGAGTGCAAAAAAACCTTAAAACACTAAAAGGACAAAAGAAAGCCAAAAAGTGAGGTGTAGATTTTTTATTACTTGTCTGAAGCAACTTGTCATCACTAGAAGCAAAGGTTCTAATTTCTTTCTATGTCTCTGTTCCAATTTATGCATTATACATTTAAATTTCTGTTATTTTGTTTAATTCTGCATACTTAGGCAAATTTTCTTGTTCTTAGATTATGGCACATATCCCTTTTTTTACTTTTTGGTTCAACTTTGTTAAGAAATGGAATCCTAGTGATTTCTTTTTGTGATATCTTAAATATATGAAATTTACTTCTTCTTCTTTGTTACTTTTGAAATTTTGGGGCTGTAAGTATGTGTTGATTGGTCTATATTTGTTTTCTTTCATGTCTGTTTGATTTTTTATTTTAAAGCATTGTGAAGAATTTGTCCGAAAATTCTGAACTCTTAAAGTTCACTGTTAGATACCGTATACTAATTAAAAAGATGTGATTATACAATGGGGGTACAATATTTCTGAAAGTTCAAGTGATATATAAACTCTGTTACTATAGTATTTATCATGTTATAAGTATACAGTTTGAGGTTTTATTCAATTCTTAAAGTTGGCTACTAAGTACTTACAGAAATATCATTTATATTTGTATTTATGATAATTTATTTTAGTGTCTTACAAATTCTTATTTGTAACCAGACATGAGTAGGAATGATTTTTGGAAAAAAACTAATCGCTTGACTGATAATCGTGACTCGGAACCTGTTAAGAGTTCTAAGAAGTCGTCTATTGACGAAAACTTGCTCACGCAATCTGTAGAAGAACTTGTTTATCCGGGTAATTGTAATATGATTATTGTGCAATATTGAATTTGTCATTAAATCTTTTTTCTCATTATATAAATTTGTGTCTTTGTTTATTCATATTAAGCTAATTCATCTTCAATAATTTTCTCGGAAGCACGGACATGATAAGGGAGAAAGAAATTAGCTATCACTATGGTGGCCATTTGTATTCTCCCCTTCTAGAAAATATGTAGGTGGTCATTTGAAGAAAATAAATATTGATGTTGATTTTATATCTTTCTTTGACCTATTGGATGACTTAAAAGAGTATTGTAACTTCAATATTTGTGAGGGGGATAAGTTCTTTTATTTGAGAGGTGATAGAATTATTAGTGATTATGATGGGCTAGTTGAATGTCATGACGATCAAGATATTAAAAACATGCTTGTTAGTTATAGAATGCATAAAGAAAGGCCTATTGAGATTTATACACTGCTGAAAAATGATATTTTTATGAGTATTTCTCTTGGAGAAAATAGTTCTAGGGGTAATGAGTCTGAAGAGGTGACAGAATCAGTTGTAGAAGCACACGAATCAGCAAATTCAGTAGGTAATCACTATTTTTATTGATCTTAATTACTTCTATCGATATTTTTACTTGACGTTATTTATTTAAGCTTCGTAGGTACCAACGCTGTGAAAAGAAAAACTAGAGGTCCTACACGGTGTGTGAAAATAATTAACTTACAAGAGGGACAAAAATTACCGGTGGAATTTGATAAAGATCATCAAGCTATCGGTGAGAATGCAAGCAAATTAATTTGGTTTTTGGGACAAACAGTTAGAAGCCGAACTTGCTGCCCTTTAAAGGTAAATGGTTGGAAAGAGATTGAGCAAGATAAGATCGACCATATGTGGGAAATTGTCTTGGTAAGAAAAACTAACAAACTAATAATTTATAATATTTTATAATTTCTTATGGTTTAATAATTACTAGAATATATGATTATAAACTTTGATTGTATTTTTTTTATATAGGAAAAGTTTGATTTTGATGTGTCCGAGGGAAGAAAAAGCACAATTCTTGGCAAAATGAGTGACCTCTTAAAGAAGAAGTATTTTGATTCAAAAGCCAATTACCAACTTCGCCTACGAAACAAGCCTAAACTTGTTGCCGTAGATGAATGGAAATATTTGGTCAATCTTTGGAGTGATGTCGACTTTCAGGTATTTAAATTGTAAATTAATTTGTTTCTGCCTTTTTATTATTATGTGTTTCATATTTTGAGGATCTCAAGTTTAATTAAGAAAATTAATTATGGGCGTGTTTGAGATAACTAAAACTGTTTTACTCTAAATTATTATTTTTGTGATTCATGATTTGGATTCCAAATAAAATTAAGCTCTCTTTTTATCACTAACATTTTCTTATATAAGAGCACGATACTTTTATTGTGTTTGTATTTCATATTCGATTTGCTAGTTTTTATGAGTAAATCCAAGGGCATATTAAGCTCTCTTTTATAACTGGCTTTTCTTTAGTAACTAATGTTCTTAATTTTTTTTTCAATTTTTATTTAGAAGAAGAGCACACAAAACAAGCCAAATAGATCGAAACATTCCTTGCCTCCATACATTGGGACCAAAAGTTATGCAAGACTTAGATACGAAATGGTATGAACGTTGTAATAATATTTTTAGAACAAATTTAGAAGAACTATATTCACATATTTTATTCATTTAATGATAATGATTATTTTTCCGCAGGAGCAAAAAAATGGAAAAGCTCTTTCTCGTGTTGAAGTTTTTATGGAATCCCGCAAGAGAAAAAAAGGAAAACAAGTTGATGCTTTTCAACAAGATGTTATTGTAATGTCAATGTGTTCTCTTTTCTTTTTATCTCCTTTTATATTACACATTTGTACTTATATTTGATTGATTTGCATTTTTTGATTGTAGGACCAATTTTACCAATTTAAAAAGCAACAAAAAGAAGGAGAAATTTCTTTAAATGATGATGATATCTTCGAAAAAGTACTCGGGCCCAAAAAATGGATATCTTCGTGCGTATGGACCCTAAAAAAATATCAGTGAATATTTTGGTAGTAGACCAACAAAAGTACAACTTATAAAGTAACTAGAATTGACCAGAAAAGAGGCAAATGAGTGTGTGGAAGAAGTTAAAAGGGAAGCTAAGGAACAAGTTGAAGAAATCAAGAAAGATATGAATAATCAACTAGCAGAGATGAATAAATAATGGGAAGAAAAATTTCGAATGATACTTGCAGCACAAAGTCTACAACAAAATGATATAGATCTAACGGTAAGTAACTTATTAGATTTTTATTACTATCTTTTTATATTAGTAATTTAGTATATATGTGATTTCTTTTAGGTAATATTCATATTAAAAATAAAATTTAATTTTTTATATAAAAAATACTTCATTGTATCATTTAGTTATATGCTCTTTTTTCTATTGTTATTGTAGCCTGTGGAGGAATTATAAAAGCATTAAGGTCAACGGGCACGTGAATAATGTTTTTCCTCTTGTCAAAGCTTATTGTTATGTTTCAAATGATGTTTTAATATTTGGAATGATATTGTTGAACCTTTATTAAATTTTGTTTATTACGTAATTGAAGATCTTATGCTACAGTTGCCTATGTGTTTCACTATCAAATTTTGATTATATTTCTAAATAGGCTTTATATGAATTATTGTGACTAATAATGCTTGTGGCAGATTTTTAATTAGTAGCAATGAATTTTTAAATTTGTAGCTAAACATATATATTGCAACATAATAAAAACGTAGCTATATATTTTTTTATTTTCATAGCAAAAATGAAGAAATTTATTGCTACGATTTTATGCTTCATGGCAAAAGAGAATGGAATATTAGCTATGGTTTTTTCAATTTGTAGCTAAACATATACTCCTACAATAGCCACGTATCAAGAACATGGCTATTCATTTTCACTTTTCGTAGCAAATGATGATTAAAAGTATGGAATATTAGCTACAATATGAAAAGGTTTATGACAAATACTTCAATTCATAGCTACGGAGTTTTTAAATTGTAGCTAAACATGAGTACTATTGCCACAAGACTAAGCTCTACAAATAGTCACAAAATTTGAGTTTGCATAGCAAATAAATTAAATCTTTTGCTACAACACAAAAATTCGTGGCTACAATATGAAGATAACTACAAATTTGATCATTGTGGCAAAAGAATAAAATCACTTGCTATAAGTATATTTTTGGTAGCAAAAACCTTTTACCATCATCGCTTCAACATAAAAAATTTCCGTAGCAATAAGTATTAGTCCTTAGCCACAGATCATATAAAGTCTGTAGCTGAGTTTTAGCTACGCTACATTTTGCTATGAATGCTACGAAAAAAAATATTGTGGCTAAAGTGTTTTGCCATGAAAATTTTCATATTTAGCTACAATGCTTTTCATAGCTATAGATATGTAATGTTATAGTGACACAACCTCTCAGTAGCCTCTCAGTAGAGATCCTTCTTTTCAAAAGCCCGCACTCATTTCCTCCACAACGACTCTTAAAAGGGTAAGACTTGCGATCGAACCTCGAAAACAAAGGAACCCACACAACAATTGAAGCAAAATATAACCCAGTACTTGTAATAATATATTAATCAAATTCTAAAGGCATATCGAGAATAATTTCGGGTACGAACTCTACATTAGAAAGTAAACAAAGACGATTTAGAGCAAAGAAGAGTATGATAAAGTACAGACCTTTATTGTTCGGATTGCGCCGAATTATTTTGTAGAGATGATGATGACGAGAGGGAATTGAGCCCTGCTATTATGAAAAAGGAAAATTAAACCCTAATTTGTGAGTTGAAGAGAGGGAACTAATTGTGGGCTTGGGAAAAAAGCGGGGGAAAGGAGAGGGAATTTTTCCCGGTTCCATAATTTTGAGTCTAATATCCAAATTACCCCCTAATGTGCAGAGTAAAACCTATAAAGATGGTGGCTGATATCGTCTTTTAATATCTTTCTTTTCTCCATTTTTCTCTTTCATTTCCTTTTTACTATTTAAATTTAAAAATTGGAAAATATAACTAAATTACTAACAAATAATAAATTAAAATATAGAACAAACTCACAACAACTCATAAAAATATTTCATTTAATATTCAAAATGCTAAATATCCATGACTAGATAAAACGTAACAAAGTTGTAATATTACAAATATTATTTGTTTAAATTCAAAAGTCCTACTATACAAAAAATAAAAGACATTTGTGTTCATCATGTCCAACTTTAATCCTAAAAAAATAACAAAAATTGCTTCCGACTAAAGAGTCTAGGGTCGAATCCACCGACAAATGACGCTTACCTATAACTATTTAATATAATTAACAAAACATGTTCAAATAATTTTCGAGTTATAAAAATTGTAATTTGTATTTAAGATATTGATTAACAAATGTTAAAGCAATAAAAATAAGTAACTAAGTAAATGAAGGTATTTTTCAATAAGTGTCTAACGTGTTTCCTATCATTTTGTCGAACTATTCTTTATTGATCATGAATTATCTCGTCACGTAATTATCTCTCGATCAAAAGCAGTATTTTTTTACAATTATTCTCTCAAACTAACTCTAGCTAGCAATTCAAACGACTTACATCAAACGCGTCAAAGCTTCGTTATCTCTAACCCCTCTTTTAAGTCTGTGCGATTAATCTATTAAATATTACTCACAGGTGACTTTGTGCAACAAAAACCTAATCTTTTAATCTTATTCAATAAAAGACAAGATATAATAACGGCATATTTAATTAAGAGCTTTTTAATTAACTGTAATCAAAACATAATTGAACAAATAGAGCTCGAAGAATGACTCAATTTATATTGAGGTTAGAAAATAGTCGTACATTATATCAAATTGTTCGTTTTGATCAACCTCCTTCATTTTTATGCAACTTTTTTTTATACAAAATATAAGGTGAAATAAATAAATAAATGAGGAATTATTAACCGCTACAAATTATATTGAATTGCGGTGATTTATAAACCTCCACAAGTTAATACGATCTGCGGAGGTTATCACAAACCCCCACAATAAAATTGCCACAAAAAGAACTATATTGTTGGGGTTGAAAGAAATGCCATAAAATGACCTTATAGTGGGGGGTCTTAGAACCCCCACAAATTAGCCGCCACAAATTAGCTTATTTTTTGTAGTGCAAATTGGGCCTCTAGGAAGATGACATCTTGGGCTTAATGAAGTGGGCTCATCACTTTAGCCCAATTAAATGGGCTAGCCCAGTGAATTAAGACTTATTTATTTAATCCATATATATTGGACTTATATAATTAATTTAATTATATTAGCCCATAATATTTATTTTGATCTAAAATATAATCCAAATTATTTGTTGGATTTGAATCTAATAAATTTTACATGCTTACAAATGCCCCTTACTTCAAGACTTGACGGTTACAGACAATAAGACAAGGATTGAAGTATTATGAAGACATCAAATGGAATGATTTTGAACCCCCAATTTATTAGCTTAGGCAATTTATTTGTAATGGAAAAACTTGTCATTGCTTGAAATTTGCTTAAATAGAAATTCATCTTCATATGAAGACAAAGGATAGACCCCGTAAGCTTGAAACTTTGGCACTTTGCCAATGACTTTCACTTTTCGTTACTGAAAGAACGAAAGCACGTGACCCTTTTTGCATTTGGAATTCTGTGTCATAAATCCTTTGATAAGTCATATAAGTAAGCACTACTTCATAATGAATATGTACGCCTACTATTTTACCAGACAGTTGGATGTCGAATATTTTCAAATATGTCTCTAAACCAAATAACTTTGGCTTACTTCTATTTTGATACGGAACGGTCTACAACCAAGTCCTTGTCGGAAAAGATAGAAGCCACCGCCTTAGCTCTTTTCCTTAATCGAAGTAGGATAACGAGTTCTAGTTGGACTCTGATAAATACGGCTCCCACATCGCTATTCACCTTTCAATTGCACTCTTTACTATCTTTATAAATAGATGCATACTCTTCAACTTGTGAGCATCAGTTCACATTATTTATAAGCCACTTAGAGTCTTTTTTTTTGGACTCGAAAGCATTAACGCATAGGTAATTTCTTCTTCTTTTCTTGTGCTTTCTTCTCCCTTTTTCTTTCACTTTGTTGTCTCTTTTTTTTAGTAGTAATTTCGTCGAACTACAAAGTACTTTAAAAGTTCGAGACGAAGACCTTTAAAATTCGCGATGAATATCTTTAAAATTTGCTGGGAAGACCCATAAAAGTTCATGCGAGGATCCTTAAAAGCTCGTAGTCAAGATCTTAAAAGTTTGCGATGAATACCTTTAAAATTTGCGGGGAAGACCCATAAAAGTTTGTGTGAGGATCTTTAAAAGCTGGTGGTCAAGATCTTTAAAAGTTCGCGGTGAACACCTTTAAAAGTTCGCGATGAATACCTTTAAAAGTTCACGGTGAAGACCTTTAAAAGCACACAATGAAGACTCGTAAAAATTCGTGGCGAAGATCCATAAAAGTTCGTGGTAGAAATCTTTAAAAGTCGGTAATGGGGACCCTTAAAGTTTGCCACAAACACCTTTAAAAGTTTAAGATGAGCACATTTGAAAGTTCGAAGCATACGCATTAAAAGTGCAGAACGAAAACCTTAAAAATCCGAATGCCTTTAAAAGTTCGAGACAAACACCTTTAAAAGTTCGCAACGAAAATCTTTAAAAATTTGAATGTCTTTAAAAGTTCGAGACGAACACCTTTAAAAATTCGCAACGAAAACCTTTAAAAAGTCTGACACAGACATCTTTTTTTTTTCGTCTGAGGCGATTTTTTTTTTTATACTTATCCATGCTCTCTTTCAAAATTGCGATTGTTACTCTTCCTTTTTGACTTAGGTACTAACAATTTTTTTGCAGCTTGAACATGGTTTACTTTAGAGACTCAGCATCATCTTCCTCCACGTCTAAGTATCTTATAATTTCAGAGCACAAGGATAGTAAAACGGAGACCAGATTTGTCACGACCCTAAACCCGGACCCGGTCGTGATGGCGCCTCTTGTGAAGACAAGGCCAGCCAACACTTACCCATTTCAGTTTTAAGCAGTTAACAATGAGAATTAAGTCTAAAACATGATAACTAATCCAACATTTAAGCAATCAATAGTACAAATATGCGGAAGAACAACCCAGCACAACCCGATACTGGGGTGTCACAAGTCACGAGCATCTACTAAGGTCTAAAATACAATGGAATTTCTGTAAATGTACTAAATACGGTCTAATAACATCAAAGGGAGAAAAGCAGTGCTGCGGACGTCGGGCAACTACCTTACTAAACTCCAAAGATTCTGCCTCTGATCAACCAATACCCGCTACCGGATGCAGAAATACCTGAATCTGCACATAAGGTGCAGGGAGTAAAGTGAGTACTACAACTCAGTGAGTAATAATCATAGCTAAAGACTGAGTGATAGGAAATCATGAAAAGTACATCAACATGTTGTATCGAAGTAGTACAAAACCAGTAAAAAAGCAATGAAGCTGTGAAATCTCATAAAACATATTAACTCAGTTTAAACTCCTTTAAAAATGACTTTTTAACAATTAAGCAATTGAATGCAAAACAATTAGAACAGATAAGCACAGAAAATTCGCCCCTCGGGCACAAATACACAATTAAACAGGTAATGACAAGTAAATAAAACAGATAAGCACATAAAGGATTGCCCCTCGGGCACAATGTCAACAATACCAGCCCCTCGGGCTATATCTCACATCACAAGGGGTACTCACGCTCACTGGGGGTGTGCAGACTCCTGAGGGGCCCCTTTCAGCCCAAGCGCAATATCAAGCCATCTCGTGGCATCATCACTAGGCTCTCGGCCTCATATCAACAAGCCATCTCGTGGCGTACATATCTCAGGCCCTCTGCCTCATAATCATAATCAATGTATCACCGCTGCGGCGTGCAGCCCGATGCAAAAGTATCCTCACAGCACAGGTCCTCGGCCTAACTCAGTCAAAATCCCATAAGCCACTCGGGTAACAGTAAAACATGATACTCAGCCCAAAATATTATTTGAAATATCATTTGATATATTAAAACAGAGTAAACATGGCTGAATTATGAAAACAGTGAAATATAGCATGACTGAGCTCAAGTATAAAGTCAAGACAGTGAGAAAATATCAATAAAATCCCCTAAGGGTTCAAATAGTTGGCACGAAGCCCAAATATGGCATTTAGCCCAAAATATGATGATAGCAAATAGATTTTTCAGTCAAATACGCGGTAAAATAGTCATTCGGGACGGACAAAGTCACAATCCCCAACAGTGCACGACCCCACGCTCATCATCTAGTGTGTGTCACCTCAATATAGCACAATGATTTGTAATTCAGGGTTTCATTCCCTCAGAACATCATTTACAATCATTACTCACCTCGATCCGGTCCAAACTCTAGCTCGCGATGCCTTCGCCCTTACGAACCGACCTCCGGATGCTCTAAATCTAGCCACAACCAGTACATAACCATTAAAATATGCTAAGGGAACAAAATCCACTCGAAAATATCCAATTTATATCAAAAATTCCAAAATTGCTCAAACCCGGCCCCAGGCCCACGTCTTAGAATCCGACGAAATTAACATCAATAGAGTCCTCATCCTCCCATGAGTCTATACATATCAAGAACATCAAAATCGGACCTCAAATGGCCTCTCAAATCCCCACTCAAAGGTCTCTTAATCTCAAGCCTACTTACCCATTTTTGCACTGATTTCCCCATAGATTTCAAGCTTAAAATGTTACAATTCATCATAGAAACAAGTTTA